GAAGAGGCAGTCGGATCTGACACTGCTATATTAGCCTAGATATTCATTGAACCGAATCGTACAACGATTAATAACCCAAGCTGCAAGAAGATGCTAAATATTAATTATCTCGAGACGTTTGCAAAAAGAGCCGACAAGCTGCTAATCAAGAATGCGAGAATCATCGTTAATAAAGACACGATCGAGTATTTATTTATTTATTTATTGGTTATAAATGAATAAGCCATTTAACCAAATTCTTCTTTTGAACAAATGATAATGAGCTTTCCTCTAATATTTGTGACGAATATATTTTAATAGTTTTATCAAGAAAATATTCTTTCAAGATAAACATTATTAAAAAAAAAAAAGAAATAAACCGAGTAATTGCTTTTCTTCGCAATACAAGTTCCTATACAGGAATATGTATCAGATCAGACCAGTTGTAAAGTAACTCATGCGAAAATGGATTTATGAGGAAAAGGAGACGGCAGTTACTCGATCCAATCTGCATCTTATGTACCAACGAGAAAGGTACGGGAAGAAATTGACTCACCGTAATCGTCAATATCCGCGGGAGAAACACCGTGATCGGCACTGGACCGGACGACCGATCATCGATGGTTGGGCTCGACTCGAATTTGAAGCAGAAAGAAAGAAAAACATTACAGCAAACATGATATAAACCCCGAGAGTCGATATAGCAACGCACAACATGCGTGTTGTTGATGGTGCATAAGCGAAGTGCGCAAAAAACACGAAATTTTCCATCGTCCAGCGATACATAACAAATAATGTACTTCTCTCCGTGGTGAATCTGTAGAGACGTTTCCCGAGTCTTAAGGATCAACATATTTTCGGCAACGCCACCGAGCGCGCTAGCTAAATCGCAGTTGCATGCGAAGCACGTTCGACGAAATGCATTATCCGCATCCGAAGCTGACGGGCCGAATCGCAAATAAACCCCCGATGAAGATAGCGAGTATTAATTTTTCGAAACACTCGCGGAGGGGTGGGGGGAGGGAGGAGGAAAAAGTCGATGAACTGTCTGCCGCGGTCGAGGCAACGCACAAGTCGTGATTAATAATCTGACGAACGCACACCGCTCGCGCGGTTCACGAGCGATATTTCACTTACGTGCAGAAATTGATCGGTGGGAGAAGAACGCGCGTAGAGAGAAGGGTGGAGGGGTGAAAGGGGGAACGCAGGAATTACGTGATAAGAACTCTTTCCTCGACAGATTCTTGATAATTGCGACAGACGGAGCGTAACCACCGGCCGCGTGGTTTAATCGGGCGCGATTACGCGCCGCCGAGGGGCTTCCTTCGCGGTGCGTTCCGTCGCACTTAATCCGTCGGAAGCAGCGCGGCGCGGGGTGTACGACTGATTCAATCGCGACGTAACAAACGAGTAGTCATAACTCTCTCGCGAGAATTCACGACTGCGCGCCGGCACAATGGTGTACACAGTGCCGAGCCATTAGAAGCAACATCCATCACCGGGGTTCGAAGTAGACGCGATGGTGACCGATTAAACCTCATCCGTATCGGCGACGTAATTCGATAATTATACGCGGGCATTGGCGTGTTCAAGTCGTGCAAGCAGTCCATTGCGCGAAACTCCGGTTCCCACGACAGAGACGTTGAGAGTTTATTTATTTATATATTGATTTATTTATTATTGTTATTATTATTATTATAAGGCTGATTTGGAAAGCGAGAAAAATAGGTAATCACGTGTACATGGCTTTGGCATATTTTCTTCTGTGCAGATCCAACTGCAAAGTAAGGAAACATAAGTAGAGCAAAACTACACACATATAGAATGATAATAAAAATAAAATGTATAAAATATAATACAAAATAGAAATAGAAATAAGACAGAAATAAAAATAAAATAGGAAATGGGTATTGTTTATTTATTTACTTATTTATCTATTTATTGGTTAGAAAAAGATAACCCATTTAATTACAAAAGAGAAGCTAAGATTGTAATGTTCGTTTCTCCTCCTACTTTTTGCGAGAGTAATTGAGGATGGCGACCGCACGAGGCGCCGAAAAATTCGATGAGCGCGCGCGCGCACACGCGACGCGCTCCAGTTGCGACAATTTAAATATTTCCACAAGAAGCAGCCGCGCTGCTAGCCCAACTTTGGTGTCCGACTTCCGCGGTTTTCTTGCGATAAATCGGGAGACGCGGTGGAGACTGGCGCCAAGTGTGTAATATACGACGCTTCTGTGAAAATTATACGCGCGAAAGACGCTACCGCATGCGTCCTGGCGTCGAGATGGGATCGAGAGAGAGAGAGAGAGAGAGAGAGATACGTTTGCGCGCGCGCAAAAGTTATATAAACTAGACTTCGCGTTGATATTTTGCTATCTTAGCTCGTCCGCTGCGTCCCGCTAGCCTATCCCCCGAAAATCATCGATTCGTTCATAAGCGGGAAAGCGCGGCCATCGTGCGCATTATGTTGCCAAGACGTGCCGTTATTGCCCGCTGACGTTACCGGCTTTGAAAGATTAAAATACTTCGAGCGATTTGCATGAAAGATTTATTGCGAAGCTCCGCTAGAAACTTCGTTCCCGCAAATTGTCCCCTTTAGAGTCCTGCGCGCTCTCTCGCTCTTTCGTGTATGCCCGAAGTAATCCGAGCTATCCCCTGCACTAGTTGAAAATGAATAAGAGAAACTTAGCGTCGTGGAATTGTTATAAACGAAATAGTTTTTGCGCATCGCATCAATTTCCCTTCAAGTCTCCGTCGCTGTAATATAATCCACTTCACAAATTTGAAGCTTAGAACGACTCATTCTCATAAGAACGTTATTTTATATATTAACGGAAGAGAGAGAGAGAGAGAGAGAGAAATTTTTTAATATTACAATATATTATTATTATTATATTGTTATTATTGTTGTAGTTATTATTTTTATTATCTCTTTAATAGTAAGTTAGAATCAGATTGACCCCATGACTTCGTTTATTTTATGGCGTGTATGCATTGTTTCTCTTCTTAAGGAATGTTTCATATTATTATTTACTTCTTTTATCTTTTACATCTTTTATCCATTTTGTACACTGATTACATGAAAAATGAGCAAAACAGAGCATAGGGTCGGATCCGACCACACCCTTCCTGGATACGTTGAAAATTCACTTTGCTAGGAGAGGATTATTATTATTATTATTATTATTATAGAGTGTGGCAGGGAGAATCATATCTATAATTAAGATTTTCAATTGATTTACCAAGCCTCATCAACGCTCAATTTACAAAGTTATCGCAGATACCGGAGACGGAGCTGCTTTAACGGCATTATTTCTCGGATTTTCCTGCATGCAAATGCGATTAAAAAGTACGTCGCCGCTAATGGAAAACGGCGAGACATAGAGACAGGGAGGAGGGGTGTTCGCTGAATGAGAGTGCAATGACGGAATAAAAAGAAGCGATGGGACATTATCTCGCGAGTCTATGCGGACTCCACGGTGCACGATTGTGCGCTTCAAGCGATAAATTTGCCAAAGGTATAATAATCTCATCGTGCGGTTATTAATTTGTGCGCGCACGCGCACCGTTTCGCGGGGCAAATTTCATGGCTGAGTCCGCATAGGCTACGGCAAAAAGCTGCCGGCGATAATTCGCCGGTCCCGCATGAATAATGAACAAGACGAGGGGAGAAACAATCGATCAAGTCGAAGGGAGGAAGAAACGAAGGACAATTTCACGCGAGTGCCTGCAATTACTCCCGGCTGATTGGGAATCATAATTTTCACGCCGCTTCACACTCACACAGCCCTCTCCTCTCCCCCTGATTTCCGACTATTCCCCTCCCGTTCGATCTCTCGGCGTTCGTAAGGTCGAAGATGAACGGCATCGGCGCTCAAACTCGTTAACGCATCGTTTTCTCTCTCTCTCTCTCTCTCTCTCTCTCCCTAGATTACCGGGGGCGTGCATGCGCAAGGGGTTATTAACTTATTACATCGCACGTCGGTAAATATAGGCAACGGGAAAACGCAGGAAAACCTCGACGGTCCTCCCCGCGCGTTGCCAGCTGGCTGAACCGCCATCTCTATTCTCTGCCACATCGCGTGCAGCGATCGCGGTGAATCGAAAGAGAGAGAGAGAGAGAGAAAGCTGGTCACTTTTAGACGCTCGTCGGCGACTGCTGAAAATTTCGGGAGCACGCGCGAAATCGCCCAGCTCAGAGCGCACAAAGACGCGCACAGAGACCGGGAGAGACGGATCTTCTGGAAAATGATCGAGAACAAGGAGCCCGTTCGCGCGACATCCGGCGGACGTATACACGCACGTTCTCGGGAGAATCTTCAGCGGGCGCATTAACGGTCGCCAGGAAACACGATCCGGGAGAAACACGAGGAAAGCTTCTCGCAGTCTCGACGATGTTACGGCTCGCTTCGACAAACGAGCTCGCAAACCGCGTCGAATTCACTCTCTTAGCTCTCTTATGTGCAGAGAGAGAGAGAGAGAGAGAGAGAGAGAGAAAGAGATATGACAGGATGGAGATGCTAATCCTAGGGGATAGCGGGGCGTGTGTATGACACCGCGGTGTCGACTGACGCTTAGCATGTCGGGCTCTTGGGCATACATGCAGAAGGGATGTAAATATTGAAGGAAGATTAATACTCGATATTTTTTTCGGCGCGTCCGAAGCGAGAGAAACGAGGAAGAGTGGATTTTTAAGTGATCGATCGTCGTGGAACAGTGTGCAGCCGTGTGTAAAGCTGTCGGGATAGTGACGTGTATATTTGTATTCCTCGCTTGGAAATAAAATCAAAAGCAACACCTAGTGGAAATGATGAAAATCAAGTGACTATTTCTCTCTCTCTCTCTCTCATCCGCAATGTGCGATATTTCGCTCGCCTGACAAATATTTTTTTTTTATGTTATTTCGCGATGCTGTACGAAATAAAGCTCACCGGGCGTTGCCGACGAGCCGATCAATCCGCTTCGCCGGTCACATATATTTCCAATTAATTCATTGCGCTCTTCTTTGGATTTTGCAGAACATGTCGTCCATGCGAACGCAGTCGACCGGCGGCGGTGTCCTCGGTTTGAGTAGCATCGGCTCCGACCGTACGGGCGCAGCTTCTACCGGCGCCGGCTCCCACTCGCATTCCCATTCGCACAGGAGGCATCATCATCAACACCATAGGAGCAGAAGCGCACCCCGGGCCCTGGAGAAACCGCCCAGAAAGCGGCATCTGAATCCTGGACGGAGTCTCGCTTCCATTCCCTGCCAGATCAAGCTGTCGATGCTGAACAGCGGCCTCATCTCGTTCAGTGAGTTGACTCGATTCCATCCCCTTAATGAATCGCTCCGCCATGGTGCTTCCGGTTAACCCACATCCAGCTGAATGAACTAACGTCTAAAGAATTCGTCGTATAGATTGGAAAGACGCCCTAAAGAGACATTCTGCTATTAACACTATGCCGTCCGGTGGCACCACGTTGGTGTCATGCGCAAAACTATCGGGCAAATGCCGGTGGCACCACGTTGGTATCATGCGATTTATGATCTTCCGAGGACCTCCGGAGAAAAACCGCCGGCGACAAGCGAAATGATCTGAGTCAGTTCTACCGGCGCCAAACAAAAGAATCCCGATTAGACGTGCGGACGGCATAGTGTTAATTAGTCGTTCTCATTTTTTTTTATTACGCCCGTCTCACACGTACGATCGAGCGCACTGAGAAAGATATTTTTAAATCGCCAATATAGGACCATAAATATACGCACAAGATTCGTAGTGCGATAAAAAGTTGTTGATATTTGCAGTTATAACAAATTTTTTGGCACTTGTAATTATAATCGCATGCATAGTGAAAAAATTATGTTACAAACGGTATACTTAAATGTTTATGTTACTTTAACAATATGCTAGATAAATATTCTAAGTAAATATGAGGAATAATGTGTTAACAAAGTGAATTTGTTCATTTCTAACGTATTTATGTACTTTTTAACACATTCCCGATGTTAAAATAACAAAAATTTGAATAGACCGTTTGTAATACAGAATTTTTAATTATGTAAATGAAAAGATTATAGTCAGGAGAGAAGCATTTTTCACTTTACATGCATATTATTACTGTTATTTTTGGGTTAAGATCAAAGAAGGATACAAGTTGAGGCCGAAAATAACTGTAATTTTAGCAGGATTTCTCTTAGTGTAAATTCATGCTGTGCTACGAGCAACGAGACAAATTATAAGCGTTAGAATTTTCATGAGTTCGACTGAGAATAGTAATAAAAAAATAATTGACATCGCCGGTGATCCGCATTGCGATGTTCGCGTACGATCGTTTGAAAAATACAAATTTCAATTATATGTGTATGTGATGTGTGTATGATGACTAATAAAACTCTCGTAAAACGTGAAGCGACACAGATACAAATCGAACGTGCACGTACGCTTTGTAAATTTTTCCTCTGTTAGGATGTTAAATTCACATTTACTCTTTCAACGAAGATCGTCGTAAATACAGAGCGGCGCGCGAGCAGGAGTGAGAGAGTTCCAAGGGCGGAAAACGAATGTTTCATGCGCGCGAAATCGAATGAGATGTATTATTTTCGTAAATGCACGAGACATTACGCGCCATCGCGCGATGAAATCCCGCGAACGGGATGCATTTTCCATTATACGCGGGAATAAATTTTATGCATTCAGGCCGAATCTAAAGGCTCCACTCGACACGACTGCGCAATTAACACTCGGTAAAGAACATCAAGCGCATAATTCGATGAAGCTGAACGTTCCCTTTCGAGGCCTTTCGAGATGTATTAGAAGCTTTTAGCGTCGAGCATCTCTCTCCCTCTCTCTCTCTCTCTCCCCCTTTTCCTCCAGCGTAACGTTTTATAAAACTTTTTCACTCACGACGGTTTCGCGTCCAAAATTAACAAAGAAAGCCCGTCTCTGTATTTTCCTTTCTTTTTCCCTTTTTTTTCTCTCGTCAGTCGCGCCAACGGTCGGTCAATGACCGGCATTGTCCGCTATATTAGAACATCCCGAAATTTTCGAGTTTTAACTCTCCCTGGTATATCATAAGCGCCCGGGAATCGAAGCTTCCACGGCATTACGTTCTCGTAGTTTTCCGCTTGCAAGCACTCTAGACTCTCGAGAGGGGACCCGGGGTACTCTAAATATTCTCGGAGCCCTCGAGACCTTCGAGAGACTGCGCTGAAACTTATGGTACTCTCCGAGAGGTCGGAGGTGTTTCGAAAAAAGCTTCGGAGATTTTCACACGCTGCAAGATGTTTTTTCCGCGACAACGAGGATCACCGAAAATACATGTAAATCCACAGAGGTAAATTGTGAGCGGACGTAAATGTTTACATAAATTCTGACACCTCTACAAGTGAAAACTGAATAAATGAACAGGAATCTCTCTCTCTCTCTCTCTCTCTCCTTTTTTCTCTCTCTGAAAAAGATGCTTAGAAATTTTTTCAAATTTCCTCATATACAAATACAGATTCTGATTAGAATATTCAAAGTTGTTCTAAAATAGGTTATCCCATTACGATGTTAAGTGGAAATCCTATTCTTATCCCAAACATGGAATGAAATATTTTTTTCGCGATGCTGATTGGTTGTACGTTACAGCTTGCTTCGTGTGCGATTTTTATCGCTAGAGTCGAATGACAGTTTGATCGAATATTAAGTTAAGAAGTAAATAAATTGAGTCATATTTTTAATGTTACTATGTTTAACAGCGCGCGCGTAGCACGTGTATATATTTGTAAAGCGTAAATACTTGTTTGTAAAGCGAAATGTGTGAAAAGTGTTTCGTATTGTTGAATCGTAATGTAAAATGAAAAACAGTAAAATTCCGTGAGAAAACGTTGAGAAAACGTTGAAAGTGGCCATATAGGATCTATTTAGTTTCTCATTAAGGCCGGTATTAATAATTGTTATTTAAAACTTGTTTTAGATGACATACTCAGAATTGAATTCAGAGTTAGATATGAATTTTTCCGTTGAATATCGTGCGTTTATAGATGTAATGTCAAATACATCATACGGTTCAACTGAAAATCTCAAATATAACTTTAAATTAAAATCTCACATTAGATGAGTTTCAAATAACAACTATTAATATGAGCCTCAGCATGGTTTGTTTGAAACATTGCACTTCTAATCAGAATCTGTGTAGATTTCTCAGCCAGAATCCATTAATATATAAATCATTATTTTGGAAAATCCGACTGGATATCAATTAGATTTTAAAACATTTTCTATGTGGAATAGATTCCAGTTAGAATAGCCAATGTTGTTCCACAATAGGTTATCCTATTAAGATACCAACTGAAAATCTCTCTCATTTCAAACAAGGGATAAAGCCTCTACTCCTGATGCTAATTGACTGTGCGCTGCGGTTTGCTTCGTGCCGCGTGCAACTGTTGTCGCCAGAGTCAGATAACAGCTTGATTAGTTGTCAGATTAGGAGATTAATAAACGAGATTATATTTTTAGTGTTACTATATTCAATAGCTTATACGTAGTGCGTGTGTACTTGTAAAATATAAATATTTAAAATGTTTCGTATATTTTGTTCAGTGGTGTAGTGTAATTCAAAAAATTTTCAGGGGGGATGTTAGAGTGACCAAATAGAATATATTTATGTTTAGAATTGTATGTTGAGAAATCACTTAAAATGGTTTAGGACATTCCCATACACTTCCAACCAGAACCTGCATAGATTTTCCAACAAAAACTCATTATTATTTTGAGAAATCGGACTGGATTCCAATTAGATCCCAAGAAATTTTCTATACGGCTACAGATATACGTGACAACGGGATATACCGCGTAGGGAAAAAAAATTGGTTGAATTAATATGAAAATGAACGAACCAAGCGCGTTTTTGTTGAAGGAAACATTCCTGGTTATAAGAACCAAATTTGATTCATAAAAACCAGAAATTCTGTTTCCTTCGACAAAGGTGCGTTTGGCTCGTCCATCGTCACGTTAATTCAACCGATCTTTTTTCTCCGCATGCGTGCAACGATCTCCGGAAAAAATTCCCCCGGCGATTAGCGGGGGGATTTTAAAAGGCCCTTCAATTTTTTTCGCGTCGTCATGCGATGAATCTCCCTGGATCGATCTGAATAGCAAAGCAGCCATCATTAGCAAGTCAATACATAAACATCGGTAATCCTGACGGGTGGCATCACATCGTGCTTTCTGATCCGTATCTGAGATGAAGACCTCGGATATTGGCAGTTTTGAATCCGGTAACGGAATGTAATACAACGCGTCCATCTCGGCCAATGAAGTTTTCTCTCTCTCTATCTCTCTCGCCGATGCACTGTTACTATTAATACGCTGTTCAAACTGCATAAAGATCTTTGCTCGCAGCGATTGAGCCACCGAATAAAGTGTAAAAATAATATCACTTCCGACGATTAGCCCGCGAGAACGAGCGAGCTGAAAAATCAGCCCGCGACGTTGATTCCTCGCTAACCAATTTCCATCGGAACACTCGCCGCACCGAACGTTTTACGAATCGTAAACCCGAGCGCGTGGGAGCGAAACCCGGCGCGCTCGGATCGCATTGTTAACCGAGAAGCCGAGAAGATTGTTTATGACACGCGGATACGTAAATTTAGCCGAGCGCGGTATGTTCGAGCGGAGCTGTCGCCACCGGAGGAATCAGCGCGCTACCGGCAAGATAAACATTTAGCGCCGAGAATATCATTCATAACGAGGTCGAGGGGCCGCTTATCTCCCGCGCATGCAGTCGCGCCCGAATGGCGATCCGTCCTTCTCGACACCTGCCCTTGTCGTGGCAAAGAAACCAATTAACGTTTCATGTGCTTTCACCTTCGTAGAGTTTGCGGTAATATATGGTAGGGGAAAAGGAATTTTACGGATAGTTTCAAGAAATTGTTTCAGTATAAATGCGAATTCCATGTTACAGTCCATATTTACACTTTTCCCTATTTATTTTTATTTTCCCTTCTAGTGATTTGCATGTCATTTAAGCTAATAGAGGTGTACACGTAATAGAAAATAATATATAAATATTTAAATATATATACATGTGTATATATATTTATATATATGCATACATACATACATACATACATATATACATACATACATATATATATACATGTGTATATATCGCGGGTATAAATATAAATAATAAAGAATGTGGTCAGATATATCCATAAGTAATGTTACCCATTTTTATCTCACTCGATTTTGTACCCGATTTTGATATCAGATTAAAATATTCAAGCTGATTACAGATACATATATTTTAAAGTGTAACGATTTACCGTTCCAGAGAAAATGGTCTCCAAAGATTTCAAAACTGAAATATGACGATTAATTCATCTGTCAGAATTGAAACTTTCGGAACCTATTTTCTCTGGAACGGTAAATAGTACACTTTAAGACATATGTGTTTGTAATCAGGTTAACGAATACTTTAATCTGACATCACAAAATTAGGTGTATAAAACCGAGTGGGCGGGAAAAATGGGAAATACCTTAGCAAAGCTCTTTCCTATAGCCATATTTTCAAAAC